TCCATTCGTGTTCTTTGTTCGCCCCTTCATGTAACCTCCGTTGACTCGCGTACCCGTTATGACTTTCCTCAAGTGTAGTGTTTACACTTTAGAAACGCTTAAGTCGTTGAGATATTTCCAACACTCCCCTTCGTTTCTGGAGTGCTGACGTGTCCAGATTCGGCGACGTTTATCTGCCCGGTCAGTAGCATGCAGTGGTCGAACTTTGCTTTCGCCAGTTTCTTCGTTAGGTAGTCTGCGGGCATTTCTGTTGTAGAGCAGTAACTGAGTTGAAGTCTCCCCTTCGCGATTTCATCTTTGACGAAGAAGTATCGCAGGGCGATGTGCTTGGTTCGGTTGGCGAAGCCGTCCTTGTTCGCGATTTTGATCGCAGATTGGTTGTCGCAGAGGAGTGAGAAGACGGGCAGGGTCACAATCTTTGCTTCCTCGAGCAACTCTCGCAGGTAAAGTCCTTCCTTCGTCGCAGTGCAGAGGGCGATATATTCTGCTTCAGCTGAAGATTGTGCGATTAGTTCCTGTTTGCTCGACCGCCAGGAGATAGTCCCGATAGGTTCCAGTCGGTAGATGTAGCCCGTTCTCGATCGTCGATTTTCCCTGTCTCCCACGTGGTCGGCGTCGACGTATCCAAGTAGTTGTACGGACGATATTGTTGCTTTACTGTAGGTCAGTCCGGTCGTCGGCGTAGAGACGAAGTAGAGTAGTGCCCGATTTAATTCTTCGAGATCTTCTTGTTCCGGCTGCTTCAGGTGCGTCGCCAGCTGGCTTGCGCTGTAGGATAGGTCAGGTTGGCAGGTTACTGTTGCAAATAGTAGGCAGCCGAGCTTCTGCTGATACTCCCGGATTTGCTTCGCGGGGAGTTTTGCGGAGGTGTCGTTGTTGTTCCCATAGCGGTAGGGAGTCGTGACTGTAGTTGGTGTTAGTCCGAACTTCTTTGCGACAACGCCTGCGTACTTTCCAGCGTATAGGTAGAACGCCGAGTTGTCTTCGACGACATTCAGACCCAGATACTGGGTCACTGTGTCGGACACCGTGAGTGTCAAGTCCCCTTTCAGCTCCCCTTCGAACCAGGTGGCGATGTCGGTAGTGGAACCGATGTAGAGCAGGTCGTCAACGTAAACGATGAGTAGGATGAATTCCCTTCCTTTCTGTAGTCGGTACATGCCTTGGTCGTGCGGCAGTTGTAGGAATCCGATTCCGACGAGGCGACCGTGAAGGTGCTGCTGCCAAAGCCATGGGGCTTGCTTGATCCCGTAAAGGGATTTTGTCAGCTGGCATACTTTTGTGGGGTCGTCGATGAATCCGTGGGGCTGCTCGACGAAGATCTCGGCGTCCACAGGTGCGTACAGGAAAGCATTTGCGACGTCGATTTGGCGCAGTGGTAGTTTCTTTGTGGCCGCGACGGCGAGTAGGATGCGCAAAGTGGTGTGACAGGAGACTGGGGATATCACATCAGTTCACTCTTCGTGTAGAATATCACATCACGTGATGCCACGGTATTTTTGTCTTGTATGTCGAGGATTTTCCATGCTTGAAAATGTTTTGCGATGCCGAGGTGTAGTCCCCATCGTGCTCGTTGAGTGAAGCGTCCTGCTCTGGCTGTGTGGGGTCTGTACTGTACCATGCAGCCGAAAACCCGAAGTAATTTTGTGCTGCCCCTTTTTCTTGTCCACAGCAGGTGCGGTGATGCGTTGTTGGGAAGCGATGACGAGGATAGCAGGTTGTGCAGGTGGACTGCATGGGTCATCGCGTCTGGCCACAGTGCGTTGGGCAGTCTCATCCCTAGGAGCAGCTTTCGCATCGTCGTCTGCAAGGTCCGATTCATTCGTTCTGCGACCCCCTGCTGCTGGTGAGCGTAGGGCAGAGACACCAAGCGTCTGATTCCTCTTTCCGCCAAGTAGGTCTTGAAGCGTTGTGACTGGTATTCCAGTGCGCCGTCTGACTGGAAGCTTTTGAGCTTCGTTCCTGATTCTCGTTCAGCGATGGGAAGCCACGTCTTGAAGGCTTCGAAGGCTTGGTCTCTCTTCTTGAGGCTGTAGTGCCAGACATATCTTGTTGCTGCATCGATGAACGTTATGACATAGTTGAAGTCGGCTTCAGTGTCGTCTCGAGGCATGTTTAAGATGTCGCTGTAAATTTTTTCCATTGGTGCGTATGCAGGTGCGCTTGGATTGTGATGTGACGAAAAAGGTTGATGTCGAAGTTCTTGTCCGCTTGTTGTAAGGAGAGTGTTTCGTTCTAACACTTCGGCTTGGATGGTTTGTAGTACCGTGCTATTTGCAGGATGCCCAAGGCGTTGGTGCCAGATGTCGTCGGAGGCGCGATGACCGGGCGAGCGTTGGTATATGTCGGTGTTGGAGAAGAACGCGACGACCGTGGCGGGACTTCGGCAGACTTCTCGTGTGATGGGCATAAGTTGATCTGCTTCGGTTGGTGGTCCTCGGATCGTTGGTGGTGGTACTCGGCTGGGTCCTGCTGCTGCTGCTGCTGCTGCAGGTGATGGTTGGGAAGGGACGCTTGCTGGTACTTGTCTTTCTTGTCTGATGACTGCTAACGCTCGTGTTCTCTCTGCTGCAGCTATGGTGTTGGAGTACCAGAATCCGTCGGGGTCAAGATCCGGTGGGTGCGTCCAGGCTGCGAACGACACGATGCCATTGCTGTCGGCAGTACCGCGGTCGGGGACGAAGTCCAACACGAAGACGCCGGACTTCAGGAGAGCTCGACCGATGAAGAGACCGCCCTTCCCGTGGTAAAGACGAAATTCGTTGGAGTCCGAATCGCACTCCAGGTGAATCCCTTTTGCCATTAGCTGGCTGACGCTGAGCAGGTTGTATCCCAGATTGTCGACGATGAGAACTTTGTTGAGTTGTAGTATAACGTTTGTTTCCATGGACTGTAACTGAACCACTCCTTGTCTGTTTGTTTTCAGGTTCTCGTTGTTGGCGACGGTGATGATGACATCGCGGTTGAGGCGTCGCTCTCGCTGCACGAAGCGCCCGGAGGAGCACATGTGTTGACCGCAGCAGCTATCCAAGAACCAGGTGTTTCGTCCGGTGGGTTCGGCGTTGGCGACTACAGCGTATGTCGGGTTGACCTGAAGTCCTTGTGAGCGCGGCGGCGGCAGTTCTTCTTCGTCTGGAGCGTAAATGGGTGGTGATCCGGGTGTGCAGGTGTCGATGTGTATCATGCAGTTGATGATGTTCGGTGTACTTTGCCCAGATGTGGAGGAGCACCTCGGCGGGCTTTCTTGAGTGGAAGCGACTTGTGGGTCTACTGGACGATAAGCTCGGGGACGTGTGCAGTTGGCTTTGGAGTGTCCGGATGTTTGGCAGTTGTGGCAAAACGGCGGCACAATGGTGAGTCCTCTGTTGTCGCGTTGCTCTTGCTTCCCGCGTCGATTGTAGTTGTTGTCGTTCCTTCGTTGAGTGTAGAAGACTAACGGTTGCTGCTTTCTCGGTTGTCTTTCTTCAAACAGGTCCATCTCCTGGTGTTCAGCGTAAAGCTCGGCGCAGAGGTGCATCTCCGAGATTCGTCCGTGGGCGCGAAGGAGCGAGCGGGTGGTTCTCCATTCTGGCCCGAGCCCAGCGAGGACAAGCGTCACGAAGCTTTCTTAAGTGATTGTTCCTCCGCAACGAAGCAGGCGGTCGCGGAGTGTCTGGCATCGACTCATATACTGCATCGCCTTTTCTCCGGTCTTCATCTGTATTGTTGTCAGTTGCTGCATGAGTCTGCTTTGTGTCACGCTGTCGTTTGCTTGATAGAGACACTTGAGGTGATGCCATGCGAGTTCCGCAGAGTTTCCATAGCTTCGATACGTTCTGATGCTTTGCTGCACTTATGGTGACAGGTTTCGTAGGAGGACAGTGTACGCCAGCAGCGACTGATACGTAAAGATTTCTTGGTCTTTCGAAGTGCCGTTGCTTGGGAATGGCAGGGACCCGTTGAAGTATCCCAAGAGATGCGCAGCCTCCATCAGCAGCTCGAACTCAAAGCTCCAGGTAAAGAAGTCGTGTCCGTTGAATGGTGAGGATGTCTGCAGTTTGATCACATGCGAAAACTGTGTCTGGAGACTTAAGATCTCGTTTGGTATCTGTTGTGATGCAGCTGCTGTTGGTTGGGCACGGGGCGGCATGAACTCGAACGTCCCTGGTGAAGAGTGATAAGGCGCAAAGGTAGGCGCTTGATTGTGTCGCCCGAACGATGAGTTGTCGAGGCTCATCGGCGCTAATCCCGTGTTTCCTCCGTTGCTCTGTGTTGAATGCGCAGGTGTCCTTGTCTGCTGCTGCTGGTCGAAGTGCGACATGAAGCTGAAGAACCTTTCCATAAGGTTCGGATCCACGCTTGAAGAGGGTGATGGGGTCACCATTTCTGGTGCTCTTCCTGTTGTTTCTTGAGCAGCGCCGGTCTCGGTTTGCAGTCCTGAAGTGTGCAATCCAGAGTTGCCGGGTTGAGTGTCTTGGGCGATGGGTGAGCCCGTGGAGATTTTCTTGCCCTTGCTGTCCATGACTTGTAATCAATGAAGTCGTTGAATTGCAGATTGTAGATAGAGTGTAGTTGCTGGGAGTTTGGTCTCTGACCAGCTCTCATACCATGTTGGGCTAATAAATGCCCTTGGGATCTTTCCAGAGATGAAGTCCTAGTTGTAAAAGACTTGAGTAGCGCAGCGGAAGTTGAGTAGTTGAACCCTTGTACTGGTATATGAGAACAAGTGATTGATTAAAAGAAACAAGCATACAGCAATATATAGAAAGCAGTTGTAGAATACAGTTAAAGGATCGGTTTCTCGAGTCGCACAGCGACTCGATTGACGGTTCTGTTACCATCCTTGCAGCTGTAACGGTCAGTCGCAACCTCCGGTTGCGACTCTTCGTGTCCATTCGTGTTCTTTGTCCGCCCCTTCGTGTAACCTCCGTTGACTCGCGTACCCGTTATGACTTTCCTCAAATGTAATGTTTACACTTCAGAAACGCTTAAGTCTATGAGATATTTCTAACCATATTAAAGTAAGAACTGAATAATGATTAACTAGAAGGAGAAACCTAGAACAAATACTAGTTGGTTGCACTCGCTAGAAGCATACCCCAGTCTAGCCTACAACTTCTACATAGCTAATATGTATAAGTTGACAGGTTGCCCATACTGGAACGTTCAGGTGACAAACCTGGGCTGGGGCGATCATGCCACAGCAAAAACACAACGCACATTGCCAGCAAGAGTACGCTCGGGGAGGGAGCTAAGCGCTTCTTGAGGGAGAAGTGGTGCTGTGCTGTGCTGCGCTGCGCTGTGCTGCATGCATGCTGTGTCTTCTTCTGAAGCCACCTACTAGCCTAGCCGCCTGGTAGCCACGTACGTGGCCAGGCAATTCAGCCCAGTCAAAATTGGGTGGTGGGGGAAAGAGGTGGAGTGGAAAACTCGTCAGATCAGATCAACACCCGACACACGCGTGTGCGATAGGCTGTGTTAGGCTTTACATTCCTCTGCTCTGGCCTGCTGCTGCTGCTGCTGCTGCTGTTGCTCTGTCAACCAGTCATAGAGCAGGGCCTGCTGCAGAACAGGGTACCGCAGCCATCTCTTTAGAGACGATCCAAAAGGATGCTGTGTTGAAGACTGAAGAGAAGCCAATGATCCTGCTACTGGGGGAAGCTTGATGGAAGAGGGGGGCGTAGGTGCTGGCTACTCGAGGGTCAGGGACTGTACCGGGGAGGGCGGAGGGGCTGTTAGAGCGGAACCTGGAAGGATCTCTACAAGGAAAGCTAGGACAGCTGTACAAGGAAAGCTATTTATCTCTCTGTCCCTCACTCCCCCTTTTCGGTCTCTATCTCTGTACCTCTGTCTCTCTGTCTCTTGCGCGCTCTCATCTTTCCTACCCTATCTTGTGACCCTCTCCTCTGCTGCTCCCATCTGCTGCCACGTCTTTATCGTGCCCAAAAGCAGCGGGTTCCTACCGGTAGGAGCCTCCTTGGAGGATATATAGCTCGCTGTCAGAAGGCCAGATCAGCCAGGTGGGTGCGTGTGGGGTTCCTTGAGCAGAACGGAGAGAGGGTGGTGTCAGCAGAGGTAGATGGTGATGTCAGCAAGGGAGAAGGTGATGTCAGCAAGGGAGATGGTGATGTCAGCAAGGGAGATGGTGATGTCAGCAAGGGAGATGGTGAAGTCAGCAAGGGAGATGGTGATGTCAGCAAGGGAGATGGTGATGTCAGCAAGGGAGATGGTGATGTCAGCAAGGGAGATGGTGATGTCAGCAAGGGAGATGGTGATGTCAGCAGAGGAGATGGTGACATCAGCAATGATAGAAGGTGGCATTAGTGAGGGTGAGTAGAGAGCGAGCGAGGTTTCTCTGGGATGGGAAATCCCATGAAATCTGGTGAGGCCCCAACCGCAGAGCGTGGATGCAATGTTAGGAGTGGGTGTGGTTATCAGGTGTGGGGGTCAGGTGTGGGGGTCAGGTGGAGGTCGAAGGGTGTGCGTGCCTCCCAACTTCAGACGGTGGGGAGGTGCGGATCCACGGGTTGAATAAGACACTGCAGATGTGTGAGGTCCGGAGGGGGGGTGAAGTGGGGAGGTTAGGCGGGGGGAGGTCCGGTGGGGGAAGGTCCGGTGGGGGAAGGTCCGATGGGGGAAGGCCCGGGCGGAGGATAAGAGGTGACTGCCTGATATGCAAGGTATGGCTGTGTGTTGAAATGTGTGCTGTTGACCAGCTCTCAATGTCTCATCTCATCTCCTGATCGACCCACCTGCGATGACATAGGGGCATTCAACAGGGAGGACAAGCAAGGGCGTGTAAGAGAAAGGCTACAGCTGTACTGCTGCGAGAGAGGTCGAGCGAGGTAACAAGGGGGAAGGCCGAAGGGAGGGCGGAAGGGGGGGCGGAAGGGAGGGTGGGTGGAAGGGAGCGAGAGGGGGGCATGGAAGGGGAGAGCAGCGCATACCGTTGGCAGCACTGGAACTCGCGACGGAGCGCCAGATGGACGCAGCACTGCGCTCCATCACCTCCCTGGCCTCGTCGGCAGACTGGAGGGCAGCGCGGAAAGGAGGGTGAGTGGGGGGACGAACGGGAGGAGTGGAAGATGAGTGGTGGGGTGGGAGAAGACGCACTGCGCTCCTTCACCTCCCTCGCCTCGTCGGTAGACTGGCGACAGCAGGAGGGGAGATGGGAAAGGAGGGTGGGTGGGGGGAGGCACGGGGAGGAGTGGAAGGTGAGTGGTGGAGTGGGAGAAGACGCACTGCACTCCTTCACCTCCATCGCCTCGTCGGCGGACGGGCGACCATTAAAAGGGAGGCGAGAGAAAGGAGAGGTTGGACTAAGTGGGGGATGAGCCGGGGGGGGGGGGGGGGGGGGGGGTGGAGGGGGGGGCGGGGGGGGCTGACATGGGGAGGGGTGGAATATGAGTGGTGGGTTGGGAGCAGATGCACTGCGCTCAATGGCCTCCCTCACCTGGTCCGCTGACAGTTGACAGCAGGAGAGGAGAAGAGGGGAAGGAGGAGGATGGCGACAAGTGGAGGGGGGAGGGGAGAGGCATGGCGAGGCGAGGAGGGTGGGTTGGGAAAAAGACACATGTAGACACACACATGTGGAGACACACAAGTAGACATGCACAAGTAGACATGCACACATGCAGACATGAGCAGCCACACTGGCGTGTAGCCATGTTGACATTGCTTCTTACCCCGCATTGCTGCAGCAGCTGCTGTCTCTTGGGTAGCGCCCAGCCCCACAGCAGCGATGCCACGTTCACAGCCCGCGACATCTGCCGGCTGTCCATGCGCCCTGATGCAGGGGGAACGGAGGAGGGGAGGGGGGGAAGGGGAGGAGAGGTCAGAATGGAGGGATGGGGGGGATTGGTGCATCAGAAAAAGCACAGACGCATCACACCCTGTGACATCTGCCTCTTGCCCATGCACTCGGATGCATGGGATGGGGGAGAGCAGGGGAAGAGCAGGAGGGAGCGCAGAGGAGTGTGAACTTCCTCACTCGTACCAATCATCCAGCAAGCGTGCTAAGCTCTGCCAGTGTCATCAGTCGCACAACCAGAGACATCAATCCCATTAGCCCCCTTCCCCCCCCCCCCACCCAAGCGTGCATAGCAGCAATGTTGCGAGCAGGCAGAGAGAGAGAGCAGCCTTGACACTTGTTCCCAATTAGCCTGAATCCCACCAGCTCACAACTATACTCACACTGCTCCGCCAGAGCAAGCAGCTGTGCCACGAGCATGGGCAGGCGCATCCACCCGCCCTCGCGGCCATTTCTTCGCTCCCTGCGCGTGCGTGGAGTGGCAGGCTGGCAGCAACGCGAACCAAGAGAAAGGCAAGGCACAGCACGAGCAGGCGGCACTCTTCCCCTCATCCTTCTGCTCAACTTCCCCCACCCCACCAGCCAATCCAACTCACATTGCTCCGCTAGCATCAGCAGCTGCGCCACAAGCACAGGCGTGTGCCCGCCACGTCCAGCAGTTTTCCCGCGCCCAGCACAGAATCCGTTTTTGAGGCGCCTCAAAATTTCCCCGCGCCCAGCAGAGAATGACTTTTGAGTCGACTCAAAAGTCACTGTGCCCAGCAGAGAACCCGACCAACTCACATTGCTCCGCTAAGGTAAGTAGTTGCGCCACAAGCACAGGCGCGTCCACGCCAGGCCATTTCCCCGCATCCCCCTGCGCGTGCGTGGCAGCGATGCGAGCGGAGAGCGAGAGCACGAGCGACACGCGCTCCTCGTCGAGGGGGTAGATGACTTCCAGCAGCGCCGCTGCGGGGTCGTCCTGCGGCAGATGCTTGCAAAGCCCCCTTGCTCCCCAGTCAAACACCGCCAGCAACAGAGCGTCGGACGACTCCCCGTTCTCGTCTATGCCCTGGAATGTGCCGGGGTAGGAGGAGCAGGGGATGCGGGGGGAAAAGAAGACAGCAGTTTACAGGCGATGATACACCTTACGGATTGCACTTTTCCATAAGGCTACAAGGCCACAAGGCCACAAGGCCACAAGGACCTACCTTGTACGTGTGCATGACTGATTTGACATGCAGCACCGGCAGCCTCTTCCTGTCAATAACACCCTTAATTCGACCTTACTGCCCAAGATCCCCCGTACCTTGTACGTGTGCATGACTGACTTGACTTGCATTGACTCCAGCAACACCGGCAGCCTCTTCCTCTCGCCTTCCACCAGCCGGCCCACGCGCAGCCACACGCCCCATCCCAGAGCCGCCTGCGGTGCTACCATCTCCTCAATCACCTCTATGGCCTTCTCCTCCCCCTGCTCCATAGGCACTAGCCCCCCTGACAGCATGCTTGACAGGCCGCGACCCAGCCACCGATTCAGAGTCACCTGAGCCAGCAACTCCTGCTCTAGTGCTTCCAGGGCTGCTCTCCCCCTCCTCCATCCCCCCCTCCTCCTGCTCCTGCTGCGCCTCCCCTTGCTCCTCCCCCTGCTCCCCCTCCCCCTGCTCCCCCCCCTGCTCCTCCCGCACCCCCCGCTCGCATCCCCACAGCAGCAGCTCTCAGGTTCATTCTCAGAAAGTTGAGCGTGACTTCGTACGCCCATGGGTGGTGCCGTCTCGTGGCCTTGCCACGCAACAGAGCATCGGCAAACATCCCGATATAAACCGACGCGGGGGGCGGCGACGGCGGCTGCGGCAAGAGAGCCACATCCACCCCTGCTGCTGTCGCAACCGCTGCAGTAACCGCGGTAACAGTCGCAGTGGCAGCCGTAGCGGGCGGCGCCAGAGCAGCCGATTTCACTGTCGTGGCCAGACGAGCAAACCGAGCACTGAAAGTCTCCGTCCCCCCGCTGGCAAACACCATACGGAGCACCTGCTTAAAATGCGCCACGGTCAGTCGACCGGATGACACCGCCCGTAAGCCCAAGTGAAAGGCGGGCTCGTGTAAGCTCATGCGAGTGAGATGTGCGGCCAAGGCTAGTAGATCCGCTGGATGCAAGTGCCTGAGCTCTCTTGCTTCCGCTGAGAGGTTCGACGCCAGGAGACCCGGGCCGAGGTCGAAGGAGTAGTACAGGCGGTCAATCTCCTGGCATCGCTCGGCGAGGTTGCTGTGCTTGGCTCGGGCTATGCCTTCGGCTAGAGTGGTTTCGGCAAGGGTGGAGAGGGGGGGCGGGGACCAGATGGGAGGGAGGCCGCTGCTGCTGCTATCCTCCTCCTCATCCTCGTCGTCCTCCTCCTCCTCATCTTCCTCCTCCTCCTCCTCGTCTTCCTCCTCACTGTCAGTGTCGTCATCATCATCATCATCATCATTGGAATTGCTCCCTTTCTCGTCATGGTCGTCCTTCCTGCTGCTGCTGGTCGTGCCATCAGCATTGTTATCACCGTTTGTGCCACCACTAGCAGCAGCAGCAGCAGCAGCAGCAGCACCAATAGCCCTGCTGCTGCCCCTCGCACCACCAAACCCTCCCCCTACTCCATCACTCCCACCCATCCCTCGCTTCCCCCTCTTCTTCCCCTTCTTCTTCCCCTTCTTCACCTGTACCCCTCCTGCCCCACCCATCCCTGCATATCCCACTCCTCTCCCCATCCCCGTCCCTGCCGCAGCAGCCACCGCCGCAGCAGCCACCGCCGCAGCAGCAGCAGCTTTCTTGGCGCCAGCAGCACCCCTAACAGCCAGTGGGCCGGCCCGATCAAAGCAGCCAGTAAGCACGGCTCTCAGGCACCGGCTAACAAACATGCGGCATGCAGAGAGATGGGGGGACGGCAGGAGATCCAGCCATGCGGGGAGGCCAGGGACAGTGGGGGGAGGAGCGGGGCGCGTGGAGGGAGCTGGCATAGGAGAAGCAGGGGGGGCAGCAGCAGTGCCGCTGTTGCTCCCAGTAGGGGAGGTGGGAGCAGAGTACGAAGCAGCACCAGCCGCACCAGCCGCACCACCAGCACCTGCAGCAGGATTCGGCATGTGGAATTGCTCTGGGTTGTGGCGTGGGGTAGCGATGGGGGTAGAAGGAGCGAGCAGGCGAAACCCACCAGCAGTAGCCGGCCGCTGCTGCTGCTGCTGGCCCCAAAATGAGGCGACAGGGGAGGCAGGAATAGGGGACAGTGGGGCAGGGGGGGGAGCGTTACGAGAGGGAGAGCAAGCAGCAGTTGAGGGGCGAGGCATGGAGGAGGAGGATAAGGAGGAAGAAACAGAAGAAGTGTCTTTCCAAGACGTTGCGTCTTTCCAAGGGGGCCACACTGATGAGTGCGTGGGGGACGTGGGGGTGCTCACTCCTGGGCTACTCACGCTGCTACCTGCTCCTGCTCCTGCTACTGCTCCTGTTGCACTGGCTGCTTTTGCAAACCCAGGAGCTAGCCGTCTGAAGCTGAAAAATGACGTGGGGGTTTCAGGAGCAGGAGCAGGGGCAGGAGCAGGGGCAGGGGGAGGAAGAGGGGCAGGGGCGGGGGAGAGAGCTATAGGGGACGGAGGAGCAGCAGCAGGAGTGGGAGGGAGCATGGGGGTGTTGGGCCGCAGAGTAGGAGGGGGGGATGAGCCTCCTGCTGCTGCTGCTGCAGCTGCCACACCTGCGGAAACACCCGCAGCAGCAGCAGCAACCATGCCAGCAGCAGCAGCAGCGAGCGACGTCGCCGAAGCAGATCTCACAACATACGGCCCAGCCGTCGCAGGCCGGGACGCCAAACCGACAGCATCGGCAGAAATACTCTTGGGCACCCCTGCTACCCTCGCCGCTGCCGCTTCTGCTGCTGCAGCCGCTGCCGACGCCGCAGCCGCAGCAGCCGCGGAAGCAGACTCCAGAAACGCCAGGCGGTCGAGAAGATGGAGAAGGCACATGGCAGCAGTGGACGGCTGCCATGAGGCTATAGAGGCCGCGAGGCCCACAAACAGAAGCACCTCATCCTGGTGGCAAGTAGCCGCTTGCAAATGGCCCCCTGCCAGCGCCTCAGTCGCCAGCCTCAGCTGGAGAGAGCCCTGCGGTCCCCACCTAGAGCCGGGGTACTTGGGAGACGGGAGAGAGGACGCCGAAGGGGAGGCAAACCCGCCGGTTGTAGTCCCCCCTCTTCCTGCTCCTCCTCCAACGATCCCTTTCCCTGGTGACCCTGCCGCTGCTGCTGCTGCTGCTGCTGCTGCCACAGCGGCTGCTGTAGGGGAGAGGTCAGCGAAAGAAGAAGCGGCTCCAGGGCTGGAAATGGAAAGGGGGGGCCGACGGGGGTTGCTTTGGAGCCTTAAGCTCCTACTAAACCCTACTTCTCCCGCTTCCCCCTCCTCCTCTTCCTCTTCCCCCTCCTCTCCCTCCTCTACCACCTCCTCTATCCCCGTCCTCTCCTCCTCCACTCTCATTCCCTCAATCTCCGCAGCCCAGTCCGGCCGATCCTCTCCCCACTGCTGCCAGTACCTTAGCCAGACCGCCAGTCCCGTGGGGAGAACCTTCTCAGCGTGCCCCTTGGAGAGCTTCTCAGCCTCAGACGCCGTGCTGTGAAACTTGCGCTTCACTCCTTCGAATTCCCGCAGGGCAGATGCTACGGACCAGTCTCTGTTGCGGTGGGGTATTCTAGCCACAGGTACTGCACTCTCTAGCCAGTCAGATGGCTCTGGGAAGCTAGGCTCCTCTGGTTCTCCTGCTTTGGCTTCTCCTGTTCCCTCTCCGCTACCCCTCCCACCCTCTCCTCCTCTCTTGCTGTCTCCTCCCACACCCCCAAACACCAAAGCCTGTGGTTTGGGCCCCCCCTCCTCGTCCTCGTCCTCCGCCCCACTCTCCTCGACCCCATCCCTCCCATCCCCCCCTCCTCCCCCCATCCTCCTCCTCAGCTTCCTTTCTCTCCTCCTCCTCACATCCGCCTTCTCCGCACAACCCACCACTAAGCGCACTACCTCATCCATGTACTTCGCAAAGAGCCAGGACCAATGGCTCCTGCCCTCCTGCGCCTCCGCCCTGGCCTTGGCAATCACGCCGAACTCTCTATAAGCGTACCTGCTAGCGCGTACAGAGCTGCAGGTCTGCCCGATCTCCGGGCGGCGGAGCGTGGATAGGGAGCGCACAAACATCATCTCGTCAGGAAGTGACTCACTGTCGTCCTCTTCCCCGTCTTCCAGCTCCTCCTGCTGCTCACTCTCCTCTCCTCCCTCCTCCTCTTCCTCTTCCTCCTCCTCCTCCCCCACCATCTCCACCCCCCCCTCCTCGTCCCGTAAACCAGCCTGTCCACCCCCCTCTTTGCCCTCCTCCTGTACCCCTCCCCGCACATCCTCCTCTCTTCTCTTCCCCCCCTCCTCTTCCCCACCCATATCAAGCACTTCCCCACTCACCGCACCCACCTCGCCCTCCTCCAGAATCCTCTGGGCCTCCGCCCTCCGTCGCCTCAACTCTTCTAACTCCTCCTCTAACTCCTCGTCCAGTGAAGACCCAAACTCACTGTCCTCCCCATAATCATCCGATCCGAAATCATCCCCTCCTTCCCCTCCTTCCCCTCCTTCCCCTCCTTCCCCTCCTTCCCCTCCTTCCCCTCCCTCCCCTCCCTCCTCCTCTCCCTCCTCAGACTCCCCCTCGTCATCACCATCAGCATCAGCATCATCCCCATCACCACGGTACACTGTCAAAACCTGGCTCTCTGTTCTATACTTCCCCATCACCTCTTCCTCCTCTGCCCGATACCCATCCATACAACCGTACTCCACCCCTTCTTCCTCCTCCTCCTCATCCCCTCCCTCTCCCTCCTTGGCCTCCTCCTCCTCTCCGTTCTCCCCAAGCGGCCATCCCATATCTGCTCTTGCCTGTCGAGTCATCGATACCCCTCTCAACCCGTCCCGTCTCTCCAACTTGAGTCCTGACGCGTCAACACCCCAGACCCCCTTCCCTTCTTCCCTCTTCCCCAATCCCAGTCTCCTCCTTCCGCCCACATCCCCTCTAACCCGCCTGGCATCACCCCTCATCACCTCTTCCCTCTCATCCTCCCACCCCTCTCCTCTCCCCTCCCAGCTCTCTCCTCTCCCCCTCCTACCTCTCTCCGTATAATCCTCCTCGTCCCTCCGTCTCGACCCGCCCACTCCCTTATAACCCCTTGCCATCACATCCCCTCGCTCCCCTCTCTCCTGTGCAAATCTCTCCCTCACTCCGAACGCACCCCCAAGGGTCGACTCATAGTTTTCCTCATAATCCTCCTCGTAAACCTCCTCTCGAGGCTGCTCGCGGTAGCTTCTCCTTCCATACTCACCTGCCCAGGGGGAGGACTCAGGATCACAAGCTACCGAGGCCGCTCGAGTGTGCGCAGCGGGAGGGTGGGGGGGAGAGTACGCAGAATAGGCAGAGCGCGGATAGGGATGGGGATGGGGATGGGGATGCACAGCACGGGAGGACAGGGAGCGGGAGGACGGGAAGTAGGGGGAGGAGGAGCGAACGGTGGGGGGGGACGCATGGAGGGAATTAGCTCGTGCTGAGGTGATAGGAGCAGGCGGAGTGGAGGAATGAGCAGGAGTAGTACTAGTGGTGCTAGTGATGGTGGTGGTGGTAGCAGATGCAGGAAACTGCTTGGCTCCTTTGAAGAGGTCAGTACGATGGTTCGAGACTTGGGGTAATGACAGCCCACCAGCAGCGCCGGCAGCAACACTGGTGCTGCTGCCACTGCCACTGCCACTGCCGCTGCTGCCGCTGCTGCCACTGTTGCTGCTGATGCCGTTGATGGTGCTGCTGCTGCTACTACCACCGCTGCTGCTGCCGACACCAAACCAGCGGGGACCCAGCAAACCCATACCACTGCTTGCATCCGCCCCCCCACCTGATGCAGTCTTGCGCATACTCCTTCCACCACTGCTGCTGCCGCGGCCGCTGCTGCTGCCAAACCCGCTCCCATCCACGCCACCTTGGTTCCCTCCTGAAACCCCCTCCCCCCTGTCCTCTTCCCTCCCCTCTCCTCCTTCCTCTCCCTCTCCCTCCCTCTCTCCTATAGACCCCAGGCGCCTGTGACTAGCAGCAGAAGATGGACGCACAGGGGGTGGCAAGAGCTGGGGGGACGAGAATAAGGCAGGGTGGGAGGGGGGCAATGCGGCAGCAGAGGCAGAAGGAGAGTCGTCAAGAGAAAGCAAAGAGGAAGAAGGAGACAGCCCGCCGCCACTGCTGCCCCTGCTCCCCTGCCGCACATGCCTGCTCCACACGCCTGCTTCCGCTGCTCCCCTTGCCACCAACCCTCCAAGCCCACCAGATATCCTCCTAGACAGCCTCCTCACATCGAGCACCTCCTCGCTCCTGCCCTCTCTCGATGCCCCTGCTGGTGCACCTGCCCCTGCTGCCCCTGCTGCCCCTGCTGCCCCTGCCGCTCCCACTCCTAGTGCGGCATCCCCATAACCCCCTTCCCCCACACCGAGCCCACCGCTCCCAGCACCACTCCCAACACCCTCCTTGCCAGTCCCCTCTACCAGAAAAGCAAACTCCGTCCCTGCAGCAGTAGCCAGCAGGTCCAGCCCAAATGCGTCCACACCTCCTCCCTGTCCCATTCCTCCCTCCAACCCTACCCCCCCCGCCCCTCCCACGCTAGACTCTTCGAATGTTACTAAACCTGTATCAGGTAGGAGCTCGTCGATCCAGGAGCGGCTGCGCTCGCGCCTCCTCTCCCTCCTCTCCAGGCTCACCCTGGGCCCCGGGCTCTTAGGCCTCTCCTCGCCCCCTGCTGCTGCTGCTGCTGCTGCAAGCGTCGCAGGTGAAGCTGGTGTTGATGTTGTTGTTGGTGATGCTGCACCTGCTGCTGCTGCTACTGCTACTGCTGCTGCAGCTGTTGCTGTGTCTTCTTTACCTTCGTGAGTTGAGAAACGTTGAGCAGAACCGAGCACGGATAGGCACTGTGACTGCACGTCCGCCTCCATAGATGAGGCACCAGCACCAGCAGCAGCAGCAGCACCACCACCAGCAGCAGCAACTGTACGTACCCCTTGCGTCTGCTGCTCCATTTGCTGCTGCTGCTGCTGCTCCTCCTCCTCCTCCTCCTGCTGCTGCTTTTGCTCCCGCGATTCAAGCCCCTCCTGCTGCTCTCCTCTTTCCTCCCTCCCCTCCCTCCCCTCCCTACCCCCACTCTTGCTGTGGCTGGACGATCGAGCACCGCTCTTATGCTCAACAGACGCACTCCTGCTCATGCCGCTTTCAATCGTCCCACTCCCCTGCTTCTCCTTCACCTTCTCCTTATTCATCTCCCTCTCCCTGCCCTTCTCTCTGCCCCTCTCTCTGTCCTTCTCCTTGTCCCTCTCCCTATCCCTTTCTCTGCTCTTTTCGCCTTCCTTGTGTCGTTTGCCGTCCCTGTCCTTCTCCCTGCCTCTGCTCCTGGAGCTGTGGCTATGTTCCCTCTCAAACATCCCCCTTCCTTCCTTCCCCTCCTTCTCCTTCTCCTTCTCCTTCTCCTTCTCCTTCTCCTTCTCCCTATCCCTTCTCCTCTCCCTCTCCTTTCTCTTCTCCACTTCCCTCTCCTTCCTCCTCTCCCTGTCCTTGTCTCTTTCACCACCTCCCTCCTCTTCCTTCGCGTCCTTATCTCGATCCTTCTCTTCCCTATCCCTACCTCTATCCTCCCCTCTGCTCTTCTCCTTGTTCCGGCTCCTGTCTTTCCCACTGCTCCTACCTTTCTCCTTATCCCTCTCCTCCCCACGCTCTTCCTTCTCTCTATCTCCATCCTTCTCCCTATGCCTATCCTTCTCTTTATGTCTATCCTTCTCCCTATCTCTCTCCTTATCCTTATCTCTGCTCCTATGCCTACTCTTCCCGTCTCCTTTCTCCCGCTCCTTATCCCCCTCCTTGTGCGAATGCCCATGCCTCGATCTCTCCTGCTCCTTCCCGTTCTCTCGCCCATGCCTATGCTGACTATGCGTTGCTGACCCTGCTATACTATTAGCATTGCTCTCCTCCCTCACTATTTGAACACCTGAATATTCACCTGAAATTTCACCTGACCCTTCACCCGCCAACCCAGCTCCCTCTCCCATGCCACCACTACCCTCCTCCCCCCTCCTGCCACTTGCCCCTCTCTCACTCCCCCTCGCACTCCCTCCTCTCTCACTCCCCCTCTCCCTGTCTTTGTGCCGATGGTGCTTCTCCTCCTCCTCCCTTCCCCTCTCCTTCTCCCTGTGCCTGCCCCTCTCACCCTCCTTGCTCCTATCTCTGTCTTTCTCTTTACTGCGCTCCTTGTCCCTCTCCCCATCCCTCTCCTTCTCCTTCGACCTTTCTCTTCCTCCCTCCCTCTCCTTTTCTCGATCCCCATGTCCCTTCCTCTGCTCCTCGTCTCTATCCTTCTCCTTACCCGTATTTGCCTCTCTATCTCCATCCCTTTCCCGTTCCCTGTGCCTGTGCTTGTGCCTGTGCCGATCCTTGTCTCTGCTTCTATCCCCTTCCTTCTCCTTCTCCCTCTCCCTCTCCTTTTCCTTACTTCTCTCACTCCCCTTAGATCTCTCTCTCTCCTTCCCCTTACCCTCATGATCAGCCCCTTCAAAACCCATCCCGTCCTCTCCACCCTCCTCCCCACTCCCCCGTTCTCCTCTCTCCCTTTCTTCCTGCCTCTCCAACCCCTCACCCTCCCCCCTATCGACCAACATCACCGCTGCTGCCATCTCTTGCGCAATATTCAGCCCCCCTCTCCGTTCATGCACCAACGAACCACCCATGCCCTCCACTCTATCTCCCTCCCCGCTCCCTTCCTCCCTCACTCCTTCCTGCCTCCCCCCTTTCCCCACCCTAGGCCAGGTACTATCCAGCTCTGTATCACACAACTCATCCACTCGACTCAACCCATTCCTTTCTCTCTTCCTCTCCTCTCTCTCCACCCCTGCACTCTTATGTCTCTCCATGCTTCTACGTCCCAACCCCTGCCCTTCCCCCTCCCTCTTTCCCTCCCTAGACCCCCTGGAGCTCTCTCTCTGCAATTCTTTCTCTCGTTCTCTCTCCTTCTCCGTCTCCCGCTCTTTCCTTCTCTCCCTGTCCTTCTCTTTCCGTTTCTCCCTGTCCTTCTCCTTGCTCCTCTCCCTATCTCCGTCCTTTTCCTTCTCTCTCTGCATCCCATCACTCCCCTCAGCAGCACTAGTTGAGCTCGACTGCCTGCTTACTCTTCTCTCACCCGGCCTATCACCTCTCTTTTCCCTGTCTTTTCCCTTCTCCCTCTCCCGCTCTCTCTCCTTTTCCCTCTCTCCCTTCTTCTCCCTCTCCTTCTCACTCACCCTCTCATCCCTCACCCTCTCATCCCTCACCCTCCCATCCCTCACCTTCTCCTTTTCCCCCTCACCCTCTCCCTCCCCTATTCCTGCTAACCCTACTACCACCACCCCTTCCTTCTCACTGTCACTTCTTCCAAAGGACCCACTCCTTTCCTTCCCACTCCCTCCCTCTTTCTCACTTCCTCCCTCCTTCCCACTCTTTCTCTCTCTCCCACTCCCTCTCTCTTTCCCACTCCCGCCGTCGTTACCTCTCTCCTTCTCATTCCCTCTCCCCTTCCCACTCCCTCTTTCCTTCTCACTCCCGCTCTCTCTCCCACTCCGTCTCTCCTCCCCACTCCCAAATTTCATTAAACTCCCCCCATAAGTGGTCAGCGTCCTTCTAGCCCGTCTATCTATCCCATCCGTTGCACTCACTCCCCCTCTCTCCTTCTCTTCGCCGTACCTAGTCAGCGTTCGTCCACACTTGGCCAGAGTCCTCTCATGCCCCTCGTATCGAGTAAGTGTTCTATGCACCCTCCTCTCCCCACCACCATCCCTCCCTAACCTTTCCCCCTCCTCTTTCCCCCCAGATTTGTCCCCACTCCCATTCTCCCTCCTCTCCTCGTTCTCCCGTCCCCTCACATCCCTCCTTTCTCGGCTCTCCCCCGTCCCTCTGCTTTCAGCCTTTTCCCTCTTTTCCCTCTCCCTCCTCTCTCTCTTCTCACTCTTTGCCTCGTCAACCTCTATCAACAGAACATCACCGCTCCCAAGCATACTCGGCCCTGACAGATCCTTCCCACCTTGCCCACTTTGCACGAGACTTGCATTAACTGACTTGGCAGGTGCGGTTCGCCCGCTCCTCCCTGCTTTCTCGTTTTCGCTCACTTCCGATTCTCCTTCCATATTATCCTCCCACGCATACTCAGAATCAGCAGCACCACCAGACCCAGCAGCAGCAGCAGCAGCAGTGACTACGCCTCTTGTTCCGGACCCTGTTCGTCGGATCACATGAGTGGCGGCATTAGGAGGGCGGAGAGCAGTCGAGGCAGCCGCAGCAGCAGCAAGGAAGGAAGGACTAGGAGACACAGCATGAGACAGCCCGCTACCTTCCCTCGTAACAACACCCACATTCCAATCCCCGTCCCCTTCTCTCAAAATTCCTCCTCTTCCCCCTCCTCCGCTTCCTCCTCCTCTCTCTCTTCCACCAGCCCCACTCCCTCCGTGACCCAATCGGCTCCCCTGCCCTCTCTCTAACCCTGCCCTCTGATTCCCATCCGAAACGGATCGAGGGCCAAACGCCCCTTCCCCTCCCCCCCCACCTTTCCCGACGCCCATCCCCCCACCTGCCCCCACCGCAGTCCCACTCTCCCTCATCGACCTACTGCCCCTAGACTCCTTCCAGTCACCAGCCCCGCCCACTCCCTTCTCCTCCTCTCCTCCATAACCTTGCCTCTTCCCTTCCTCCGCCCAGCTCTCCTCCTCCCCCTCCCTCTCACTACAGCTCTGTACACTCCCACAGCTGTCCCTGTCCGTCTCCCCTCCTCCACTCCCACCCCCTCCCCCACTAGAACCCGCCATACCCGGTCTCCTTAACGCAGCTAATCTCCAACTCCCTCTCTTGCTCTCCCCCGCAAATCCACCGCCCGCCCCTCTCTCGCCCCTGGCATATGCAGGCGAATCCGGGGAAAAAGGCTTGGAGTTTGGGAGATCCGGTCTGGAGGGTCGTCTAGGGGGCGGTTCAGGGGTGAGTGGGCGATTGGGAGGGGCTCTGGCATGTGTGGGGAGCTGAGGGGGGTGCTTTGGAGGAGTAGGGACGGGCATGTGCCCACTGCCCGTGCTGCTCTGCCTTTGAAAGAAATCGCCCCCGTTTCCCTCCGCTCTGCCCCTCCTCCTCTCCTCCTCCTCCTCCTCCTCCTCCTCTTTCTCCTCTTCCTCCTCCTCCTCTTCCTCCTCGTCCTCCTCGCCCTTCTCCTTCCCCTCCTGTCCGTCCTGTTCATACAGTAACGAATGACCAGTGCCCCCGCCCGACCCATTCCCTCTCCCATGCCCATGCCCCTGCCCATGCCCGTTCCTGTTCCAAGCAACATCAGGCACAGCTTCATCCAACGGCGCCCCTCTCCTCCATGCTCCCCTGCCGTCACTACTCCTCCCCTCTGCTGCTACTACTGCCACCACCCTCCCATCCTCTTCCCCCCTTCCGTCTGCCATCACGCCCAACCCCGCTGCCACTCCCCTTCCTCCTCCTCCTCTCTCCACTACCCCTCTCCTCCCTCGCCTCCTCTCCTCTCCCCCTCCCTCTCCTGCAGACCCATAGGAGCTAAACGAACCAGCAGAAGAGGTCGACGCACCAGAGGGGGGCCGGCGGGAGAAGCTACTGGTCCTTATAACGGGGATGGAGGCAGAGCGAGGGCCAGAGCGGGAGAGATTGGAGTCTGAGTGAGAGAGAGGGGCGTCCGAGTAATCAGAGTGCGAGATCAAAGAGTGTGGGCGGAAGGTGTCAGAGGCTTTATGCAGTTGATCGTCCGATCCTTCTCCCCCTCCTCCTCCTCCTCCTCCTCCCCCTCCGCCTCCACTGGAGGATCTACGGCTTCTCCCTGCACTGCTACCACTGCCCATACGTGTGAGCCCCTGCTGCTGCTGCCGCTGCTGCTGGCCCGGCTTTCCCCTCTTCCCTCCGCCTCCAAAGTCGCTCCCACCCCCCTCGCTCTCTTCACTATACGCTTCCCCTCCCCCACTACTCCCCCCCCCTCCTCTACTTCTGGACCGCGAAAACGCAGCCTGCAAGCTCCCCGCTCCACCAATCCTACCACCATCACCACCGCTGCCACTGTAGCCGCCGCCGCTGCCTGATCCGCCTCCTCCTCCGCCTCCTCCTCCTGCTGCTGTTCTCTCCGCTACTCTCTCCGCTACCCTTTCTGCCGCTGCGCTTCCTCCGCCTACCGCGGACGAGCTGCCATAAAAAAATGAGCCGCTCCGCGAATAAGCGCCCGACGCTCTTCCCCCTGCTGCGCCACTACTCGCCGCCATCCCTCCCCCACTATGCGCCAGCACAGAGAAGGGCAGAGCGGCGGCGTCCGACGCACCAGAGGAAGACGATGCAGCCATTAGAGCCGCGAGCTCCTCGTCCGTTCCTACGGACGATACGGGCGAGCGCAATCCTCCCCCAGCGCCGCCGCCAGCGGCGGAAGCGGAGCGGGTGGGGGAGGGGGCGGCGGAGGCGGAACGGGGCATGCGCTGGCTGGCGGAAGTAGAGCTTTTTGGGAGGTGCATGTTAGTGGAGCGCGGATGGCGGAAAGCGGAGGGGGAGGAGCGGGAGGGGGAGGAAAAAGAGCCTAAGGGCGGAGGCGGAGGCTCGCCCACGCCTGACATAGCCCCTCTCCTGCTCGGCGCGCTTCTTCCCCCTCCGCCACCGATTCCGCCGTCCCGCACTGCGCCGTTCTCCCCCGCCGAGGGCGCGACTTTAAAGTCCAGCGCGTGCGCGGAATGGGGGGGGGCGGACGGGCGGAGAGGCGGAGGGGAACGCTCGTGGACGGCGCCCCCGCTGGAGGTGCGGGTGGCGCTGTAATGGCGGCTCATGGTGGGGCCTGCAGAAGACACGCTGGGCGAGGGAACGATGCGCGGATGAGGGGAGCGGGGGATACGGCGGAAGGAGGGAAGGAGAACACATGGACGCGGGGGAGTGGGGAAGGGTGTAAAATGGAAAGAACAAGGAGTTAAGACGAGCACGAGGAAAATGAAACTGCTGATAACCCTATGGGCATTAGGGTTTGAGAGGAACGAAAAGAGCTATATATATCGGTTTGCGAATTGAACAGTGGAGATTTTTGCGGCTACACGCGAAGCAGGTGTCAGTCTCGAACAAGTACGAGGACGGTGGTAAGACGCGGTGCAATGGGCTCCCAAGGTGGTAAGGTGCGGTGTATTGCGCTCTCAGGGCGGTAAGAAACGGTGCCAAGGGCTCCTAAGGTGGTAAGATGTGGTGCAATGGGCTGTGACCGGATACAGCATAAAAGCTTCGGGGGGGGCACCCGGTGACACGTCGGCAACTAAAACGGAGGCAGAGGGAGATTATTGGCACGTAAATATCTCAATTTCAACCAGAAAATGGCGCAATGAACGAGAGGCCGAACGGAGGCTACTACAAAGGCGCTTACCGCAATTCAAAAGGACACAAATTATGGCGTCATTCTCGTGTACAGGCGGCTCCTACCTAAGTCGAGCCGCTTAAAACGGGAAACCCCAAGCCAGGCGGAAATTCCACCCAAACCACGGCGCTCCGTTAAATGTCGGAGTCATGCTTCGCCAAGATAGCCTCGTTGCGCCCTTCAACATGCGCTCGCGACAACGGGTAAACAAATATTAATAGATATAAATGATCGCGGTACGAGTTCAAAGCTCGCGTCTTTATTTTAAACTGCAAGGGCAGACGACGAATCGGCAACACCAAATTGCGCATCAGCAGTGACGGCGTGACTGTAATTCTGTCGCTAGGTTAGAAAACATGCACAGGAGCGAGACTCTCCACCTAAACTGGCGAAACTAACTCCGTCCGTCGAGTCTCTACGCCTGGATTGACGGAACCCTAGAATTGCTGGGGGAGAAAAGAAAAGCGGAAAAAGAAAGTAAAACAGGAAACTGTTAGCTAGGGAAGTGAACAGGTGGGGGGAAAGGTAGGAGACGGGAAAGGGAAGGGAGGGAAAGGACAGGAATTGCAACCTACAAGCGACACGGCTTTTCCCAGCGGGGAAGGCGGAGATAGTTTTGTTTTGTTTTTTTTTCGTTGGCTACCCGTCGCTTGGCCCGTCCCTGGGGAATGGGGAGAGTTGAACCAATAGCAATCCTTTGGATTGGGTGCTTAAGTTTTGTTTCGTTTGACCGAGAGTTCCGATGCGTAATCAAGCGTTGTACAGTAGCTTCGGGAACTCCTGAACAGACTGTACTGCACTGTATTTCGAACGCGGAAGCGTTTGAATATTGCTGCAAGCTGACGATGGAGAGTGAACTGGCCGGTCTGCGACGATCGCGAGCCGTCAAGTTTGATGGTGGGGAATGCTGGCTGCAGCGGGTAGTTGGAGAGAACAGGCTTTCCAACGACGGACGTGGGTTCGTGATGTATCAGAACAGAACAGCACATTTTTGGCGCAATGTGATAACAGCGGATAAGTGTAGATGGTCCATCTTGTAGAGTATCTGCAGGCTAAAGTACATTGTAAGTAAATATTTCCTTATCGCGGGTTTTAGTTAGTAAGGCGTACACTGCTATAACGGGGTTGCCGCACAACTCTGCCACGAAATTCAAATCGCATTACCCAGATGCGACCTCTTGACGAGCCGCATGCATTTTGCCCGCCTTGTTGTTTCATGCCTAGATCTAGGTGCTTCGCGCCAATTTACGAACCACACGTTGCAGCTCTGCCGAGCCACGACCGTGTACTCTAGGCTAGCTATATCCATGCTCCCTGCTGTTGTGATGTTGTCTCATTGTATTATTTCCTTGTTACTCAGTCCTTCGACACACACTCTTTGTCAACTTATATATGTTAGCTGTGTCCAAGTTATAGGTTAGACTGGGGTATGCATTTTGTGATTACAACCAACTAGTATTTGTTCTAGGTTTCTACTTCTAGTTCATCATTCAGTTCTTACTTTAACATGGTATCACGCGTAGGTTAGGATCCCCCACCTACCGCTTCCGCCCGTACCCTAGCTAGGCCCAGCTGCTTCCCCCTGGGCCCCGTCGCGCCTCCTAGCCCCGTCGCGCCCCTCCTGGGCCCTGCCGCGCCTCCTAGCCCCGTCGCGCCTCCTAGCCCCGTCGCACCCCTCCTGGGCCCCGTCGCGCCTCCTAGCCCCGTCGCGCCACTCCTGGGCCCTGCCGTGCCTCCTAGCCCCGTCGCGCCCCTCCTAGGCCCCGTCGCGCCTCCTAGCCCCGTCGCGCCCCTCCTGGGCCCCGACGCGCCTCCTCGCCCCGTCACGCCCCTCCTAGGCCCCGTCGCGCCCGCTAGGCCCCGTCGCGCCCTGCCTGGCCCCGTCGCGCCCGCTTGGCCCCGTCGCGGCCTGCCTGGCCCCGCCGTGCCTCCCTGGCCCCGCCGCGCCTGCCTGGCCCCGCCGCGCCTCCCTGGCCCCGCCACGCCTGCCAGGCCCCCGCCGCGCCTGCCAGGCCCCCGTCGCGCCTGCCTGGCCCCACCGCGCCTGCCTGGCCCCGCCGCGCCTGCTTGGCCCCGCCGCGCCTGCCAGGCCCCGGCACGCCTGCTTGGCCCCGGCGCGCCTGCCTGGCCCCGCCGCGCCTGCCTGGCCCCGTCGCGCCTCCCTGGCCCCGCCGCGCCTCCCTGGCCCCGTCGCGCCTGCCTGGCCCCGTCGCGCCTGTCTGGCCCCACCGCGCCTGCCTGGCCCCGCCGCGCCTCCCTGGCCCCGCCGCGCCTGCCTGGCCCCGCCACGCCTGCCTGGCCCTGCCGCGCCTGCCTGGCCCCGCCGCGTCTGCCTGACCTCTCCCACTGCTCGCCCGGCCCCTCTTCGTGCCTGCTCGGCCTGCCGTGCCACCTCGGGCTCCGTCTACTCTACTCGCCAGCGCTGGGGTGCCTCACGGCCGCCGTGCTGGAGAGTGCCGCCGCCATGTCCCTGCGTCGCTATGTTCCTGCGGAGCTGTGGAGCCGTGCCGCTGACCCTGCACGATGGCTGACTTCGTGCTCCGATTGGACGCCGAGGGCCATGCAGTTGACTTCGCCGCCTGGCTCTCCGATCTCCGCCGCCACCTTACAGGTCAGCGCCAGGATGGCCACTCTTTGGTTGTCCATGTCGATGGCTTGCTCCCCCGCCCCCCCGCACCTGCTCCCCTCCCTGCTGACCCCTCCTATGATGACCGTGAGACCTTCTCTACTGCTGCGCTTGCCTGTGCGGTCTGGGACTCCCACGATGCATTCGCTCAAGTTGCTATTAGCCACGCCCTCCCTCTGTCCGAGCGCTCGCGTTTTGCCACTGTTGAGACGGCCAAAGCTTACTTAGACGCCGTTATTGTTCGCTATTCCACACCCGCGTCTGCTTCTGCTGGCCGCCTGCTCTTCCCGATGGTGTTCCCAGACCTTGCAGCCTTCCCTACCGTCGCAAAATTTGCCACTCACCTACGTGCCCTAGAGACCCGCTATCGCACTGCCAGCACTGCTGCCCAGCTCACTGCGCTCCCCCCCCCTTTCTGCATGACGCTCTATTTTATCGCCATGCGCCTGCCAGACCGCCTCGCTAGTGCTCGCGATCACTTCCTTAGCCAGCACCCAGATGACCTCACCCTCACCGCCTTTGTCGACACCCTCACCGAGATCGAGACTCGTCAGCGCACTATCGTTCAGTCGAGCGGTGCACCGGCAGTCTCTATCTTTCACGGCTGTGCCCCCTTCGAGTGCACGTTCACTGACGTTTCGACTGCGGTCGCCACGGCGAGCCCTCTCACCGAGACGGCTGCTGCGGTCCACCCGCAGCAGCGCTCGCGCCGCGGCGGCCGTGGTCGTCAGGGAGGTTGGGATGGTGGTGCAGGTGGTGGTGGTGGTCATGACGGTAGTCCGCCTGAGGGGACTACCACCAGTGGGCAGGAGCAGCAGCCCCAGCCGCAGCAGGAGCAGCCCCAGCAGCAGCCGCCGTCCCAGCAGCAGCCGCCGCAGCCCTGGGCCCGTCTCCCGCCTGGTTGGCCCGGCACCTCCAGAGGTAGTGGCCGTGGTGGCGGCCCGCGCAGCCCGGTGACTACCGGCGGTTCCGGTGCTGTCACTTGCCAGTACCAGCTTCAGACCAAGCCTCTTCGCGGCACTCTGTGCCGCCGCCCGCACCCGACCGCCCGCTGTTTCCGCCGCCTCGATGATCTCTTTCGTCGTCGCTTTGGCCCGGCCCCGGACCTCCCCGACTGGCACAGCCTGCTCCGCCAGGGCGTGCGGATCTTTGAGTTAGATATGGATCAGATAGGTGCTGCTTTGCATGCCTTGTATTCTGACGCTTCTAGTGTTGCTGGATCGTATTACCCTGTGTACTCTAGTTTAGGTGTTGCCCCATTGTGTAGCTTAGCCTCCCCTGCTGCGTCAGGCGTAGGACTGCCTCATTTCCCTAGCCTAGTCTCTGCATCGGCTTTGTTCCCGGCCTCAGCCGATGACTCGCTGTCCTTCACCCTCGACTCCGGTGCCTCTGCCTGCTTCTTCCGCGACCATTCCGCGCTCACGCCGCTTGCTACACCTGCTGTTGTCTCTCTCGCTGACCCCCCTGCGGGTCCTGTCGTCGCTCGCAGTTCTACGTCCCTTCCCTGTCCAGCAGTTAGCTCGGGCTCCCTTACAGGTCTCCACGTTCCCTCGTTCTCGAGCAACCTGGTTGGTGTCGGCTGTCTCCAGGACCTCGGCATCACCACCACGTTTCCCGGGCACGAGCGGTTCGCTGGCTGCTCTGAGTCTGTCTTAGGTTTCCTTCTTGCGACGTTCCCCCGGGACCCGGTGTCCGGTCTCTTCACCCTAGACACTGCTTCCCCCCCGGTTGGTGCATCCTCCCAGGTCGCTGCAGCTTGCTCGTGTCGGTCCCTCACTCACCCGTCCATCCTCTTGCACTTCCGCCTAGGTCACCCTGCACTCCCACGTCTGCGTCACATGTCCCAGCACGGTCTTGTCTTAGGTCTCCCTGCGTTGCTCCCTGCCCTTCCTCCCTCGACTGCGCCACCGTGCACGCCTTGCGTCGAGAGCCGGCTCCGCCGCTCTCCTCACTCCTCCTTGTTGCGCCCTGCTACTGCCCCCCTTCAGACCCTGCACCTGGACGTTTGGGGCCCTGCCCCTGTCCCCGGACCGCGAGGTGAGCGCTACTTCCTTGTGCTCGTCGATGACTACACGCACTACACCACGGTGTTTCCCCTGGAGCGGAAGGCCGACGTGCCCGACGTTCTTCTCCCGTGGGTCGTAGCTGCGCGTCTTCACCGCGGTCTCCCCTTGTTGTGTCTCCACTCTGACCATGGCGGCGAGTTCGCCTCTGGTCGGCTTGGACAGTTCTGTCGTGCGGAGGGCATCACCCAGTCGTACACCTTGCCGGACTTGCCGGGTTGCTGAGCGCCACATCGGCTTGGTCATGGAGGTCACCCGTACCTCCATGATTCATGCCGATGCCCCCCATTTTCTGTGGCCGTTCGCTGTTCGCTACGCTGCTCACCAGCTTAACTTGTGGCCACGCTCCCAGCGGCCGCAGGTTTCGCCGACCCTCCTTTGAACCGGGTCCCCCGGTGACGCGTCTGCGTTCCACGTTTGGGACTGCCTTGCTCACGTTCGTGCCTCTGGCACGGACAAGCTCACTGCCCGCACTGTCCCCTGTGTCTTCCTCGGTTTCCCCCTGGACTCGTCTGACTGGCTTTTCTACCACCCGCCGTCCCACCGCTTCCTCCACTCTCGTGACGTCACCTTTGATGAGTCTGTCTCCTTCTACCGCCGCTTCCCTAACCGAGGTCTCCCGGTTGCCCCCCCCCTGTTCCTTGCTCCCTCTCCCCCGGTAGCCCCTGCCCCTCTCCCGTCTCGTCCTGCCCCGTCCGGTGTCTCTCACGTCACCCCCCTCCCGTCGGTTGTCCCCGTTGAGGAGTCTGCTGACTCTGGTGGTACCCCCGGCCTG